TTTACTGATTAACGCTAAATTCATTAAATCACCGCGAACATATAAATAATATGAATAAAGATCCAGTGATCATTCCTTGATGACCAGCCTTCTCCCTTAAAGCTGCGGTCCCCAACCACCGGGCCGCGGACCGGTACCGGTCCGTCGGTCATTTGGTACCGGGCCGCAGAGAAAAAAGTACATATATTTCTAATTTATCGATCAGAGTCTAAGTGATGTTTTATTTTGAAAAATATTTAAAAAATTGCGGTATTCTCTCCCAGTTACATCAGTCGGCGCATCTGTTCCTCTTGACACAGGTTAAGACTCATCATATCTATAACATCCTATGTTTGTGAAGCGGGATTTTCTGCGGTTACAGCGACCAAAACAAAGGAGCAGACTGGACATCAGGATGTTTCAGAGAAACAAGCTCAGGGTTCCCACTAATTCAACGGTGAGTTTTATTTTTATGCTGTTTGTATATTATTTTATGCCAGTCGTATTATTTTACTTGATCGTATGAGCTTTCGTCTACTAACAGTGGGGAAGGTGGAAAACTGACCAGAGGTTAGTTGTAGGGTAGTTTCACAATAATGGGCTTAGTTCTTCTTCTTGAGGTATCCAAATATGATAAACCAACAAGATAATCATCTTCCTTGGCTGTAAGTAGCTCTGCTAGCAGATCTATTGCTGCATGATAAGGGGGAGGCCAAATTGCTGCACAGGAATCTTCCATCAGCCTTGAGTCTGTTCTTAACTAATAACAGTAGAGAAGCTGCAGAGAGGTGAGTTAAACTCTGCTTCCTGGTTGAAAGGGTTTTGGAGGATTAATACATTTGGCAACTTCCTGTTTTTATGCTTTAATCAAATATATTAGTAATGCTCTTGAACTTAAACTAAAAAAAAACAAAACACAACATTGCTTCATTCATTAGAATTATGTCAAAATAAAAAATAAATAAATGATGTACATCTTAAAAGAAGATTAGCTTTTTAACCTGTAAGTTAAAGGCAGGAGTGTGGAACTCATTTTTAATTTAAAGTCCTTAATAGGGCCGGTTTAAGTGTATGAAAAAAAATTGGATTTTATTGTACTTACATAGAACACACTGCCTCGGTATTCTAACTTTATTACCTTTCATTTAACAGTTTTAGCCACTTTATACAGTATAGAAGAACATCTGCCTCTATTTTATTACATGATTTGAACTTTTTGGCTCTTGAGGTCCAGATGGACTGCCATGGTTCTGGTTCTACTGCAGGTGTCTTCTTGTTAAAAATGAGGGTTTCCTCTCCACTGTCGCTGCATGCATGCTCAGTGTGAGGGATCTACTGTTGCCAAATGCCTATTGAGGAGACGTGTGTCCTGGAAGTCAAAGACTCAATACAATCAGCTGGTTTTTGCTTAATAAACTTTACCAATCTGTCAGTATTATTGGTTGAAGTGTCTCTATAAAGAGCATTTAGATGATGCGTGCTGTGAATTGGTCCTATATAAATAAACTGAATTAAACTGAATTGAAATGGATTGAATTGATTTCACAAACAAACTTAGCAGATTCTGTGATTAGAGCCATAAAGTTTGTTCAAATAAAATTGTATTAGTTGGGGAAAAAAAGAGTAATAATTAAAAACTGAAGAGTTCTTCTTAAACTGAAAAGAAAGATTTAAGACTGAAAATAAAAGTCTTAACCTACTTTCAAGATTTTTGGGGGGGTTTCAGTTTAAAACTGCTGGCCCCTCAGTATGCTTCCATTGGCGGCCCTCACTGTACATTTATAATGAGTATGGACTAGGGATGCAGGATATAATCGGCCCCCTATCGG